GGGGGGGGGGGGGGGGGGGGGGGGGGGGGGGTTTGCGAGCGACGCGAGCAAGAAGAATAGAGAGACTGTAGACATCTTTGGAAAAAAGAGGACTTAATAGGCTCTTCCCCCTATTAACACCTTGTTACTAACAGTTCTACCCCGTGACCAACTAATTAAATCGGACCAATTAAATTTGCGCGGTAGATTGCTTGATGAATAGAAGTATCAGTTGCTAACAACAACAGGTACGTGTATTCGGGTGTCAAGAATGTCGTCTCAGATGATTTCTTCAACTCCAAAAACAAGCTGCTTAAAGGCTGAGATAGCCGAAATCAAGCGGTCCGTCCGATTTTTGTACGATATGCGCTTGTTCTTTTACTATTCGCTTGGGGAATCTTGGCAAGACACCTTACATATCTGCGTAAAATTTATTCCGAAGTTGTTACAAGGTGTGGCACCCGTCAACTACAATGAGAGTGACACAATTGTTTGGCGGAGAATCTTCGCTCTATAAGATGTTTTGGAATTTTGCATTCAAAATAGTTTATCCGCTGTTTTCCGAAAACAAGCTTGTATTTCGCTTCTTCAATTGGCAGAAGCACCTCGTCCTTTGTTGACAAAACGATGGTAGGAAGCCTAAGCTCTTTCATCTCTTTTATTTGATCTTTCCTGAAGCTTTTGAGTGGCGAAATATAAGAACAACAGCATTCGCACCATTTGCATTTCTTTTGCCATTGCGCAGAGTTGATACATCAAACTTTCCTCAAAGCCTTTCGGCAAAATTGCAACAACGTCTTTCGACTGAAGAAGATCAGTGAACAGTAGCCTCTTTCTGTTCACCTTTGAGCGAAGAAACGATGAAATTTCTCTTAACAGGATTCCATTTTTAAAATAACCGCTCCATTACGAATCACGGCACATGTCAGTGATGACAACTGCTGCAAGCCGCAAAACGCGCCTGGATGCAATCATAATCAGCTGCTGTCAAGGTGATGACACTTTTGTCGCCTTTCAACCAATGAGAATTTTCCGTTTCTGGAGAAACGGAAAATTCACTTTTTTCCAAAGATGTCTACAGCCCCTCTATTTATCTCGGTCCCCACCCCCTACCCAGCTAAGTCTTCCGTTTTGCGCTGGCGTCTAGTTCTCTTTACGATTCTATCCGCGCGTTTAGAACGATCGAATAAAAATACGAGAAAATAGAGGGCCGTGAACAGTCTACCACAATAGTATGGACATGATATCTACCAACTTTGGCATATGTTTGATCTTTCTCTGGTATTTTCAAACCAGTATTGATTCGTTCCTGTCAGTTTTTCAATAGAATTTTACATACAATAACAAGAACGCTTTCGTTCGTTGGTTTGTAGCTTAGTAGCCAGGCATTTCACCGAGAGAAGGAGTAATGGACACAAGTAGCTTTCGAAGCTTTAAAGCTGGTGCTTTTTGTTGTACCTGATAATTTTATTTAATGTAATTGCTATGCGTGACCGAGCATGACATAAAAGCTTTTGCGTTATAATTAATTACAACTAGTAGTAATCAAAGATTATGAGTTCGTTCGACGCCGTCACTTTAAATTTATTATATAAACACGAATGTTTTACTGGAAAATACACCACTCGTAAAACTCATACGAAACCACATCCGGGACTCGAGTGGCGCATTTTCCATATCCTCACTAGTAAAGATATCGATGATTTCACTGATATCAAGTTTGTCTCTTCAATTGTACTCAAATTCGTTGATGTGTCATCGAAACATCTTCGGGTCCTCCTCGAAAGTCCTCGGCAATCGTCGGCAATCTTCGCTAATCTTCGGACATTTTCAGAAAATATTCGGCAACGTTCGTGTGACCTTCGGACAAGTTTTGGAGAATCTTCGGAAATCTTCGGAAATGGATCGGAAATCTTCGGAAAATCGTCAAAAACGCCGTCATCGGTATGTCTATGTAATAAAAAGAACATTACACGTTAGCTCGAAGATATGAATTTTATGTTATCGTGGCAAGAACAATATTGCTCTCGCCACTCGAATATAAAATTCATATCTTCTCGCCACCGTGTAATATCCTCTATATATTATACCTTAGCTGATTCCACTAATTGACTTTCAAACTCTCTCTATTGCTAAAATCAGCATTTTTCATCAACAACCAAGGTTTTACAGACAGATATGTCATAGTGTCAAGTCCAAGTCAATGGAGAGGTCCCTGTAAAAACAACGATTTGTTGATACGTTGGGTGACGGCGGCAGTCTCCGTAGACTCATAAAAATGTTTACATTATTTCGTGCTAAATGTTTTCACATTATTGATTATTAAATCAGTAAGACAGTTGACATAGAACCTGGAATGCCACAACAAAAGGTGTGGATTGTAGCGTATTAATCTTTCGCCAGATCGCGCTGTTTTTTGAAAACCAACAAGAGAAAATTATTCTTTATTACAGGCAATGAATCACTCATTTAAGATAAATTTACGTCTATGCTCAACACAAGCCATAGTTAATAGAGGAAAATGGTCAAGAAGACCGGTTAACGTCAAAGAAGCAAATAAAAAGGCTAAGATTTATGTGGGCCCTTGACACTGCACATCGTTTGTTTTATGCTCATTGACCATGATGAGCCATTGGCAGACAACAATTGAATCGCCGAATACAGCAGAGAAGTACAAGACGCCGAATGCGGGGGAATATCATTACTCAAAGGAGACCTATGGCCAACTCGTGGATTAAGTAATCTAGAGATGAAACATGTTGGTGAACTTGCAATTATTGGTGTATTATTAAAGGCTGTTAAAACAAGCCGGGTTCGTACCACGCAAGGTCGTACTTATCTCACAAAGCCTAGGCTTTTTTCGTTGGCTTTTGTTGCACACATATTACAACCACATACGTTCAGAATAACTAGGGTGGCAAAATTGCAGCTGAACATGGAGTGGTAAAGGCTAAGGGTTCTTGGGTCACAGAGGACACTCCTAC